AACAAGTTATTAAATAAGAATTTGTTCTGGCGGGGGCTCACGTGCTCAGAGATATCAAATATTGCTTAAAATGTCGAAAAATTGAGTAATGCAAAGTATTTTAAATTTTCGTCCGATTAAAAACGAACTTTTTACCGCTGAAAAAAATAAGATTTGGAAGCAAAATACTAATTATACATTGTGAAGCTTAACAGTGACATCAAAAAAGAACAGAAGTAGAGTTCAAGAAAATGAACACCAGGCATACTTGAAACAACTTTAAATTTATAGACCGGTTCTTCATCTGTGAGCCGACAACTCGCGCAATTGCTTTGACCAGTGTTGCACCGCCTGATGGTCAGACAACAGCTGGCAGCTCCTAGTCAGTAGGATGCTCCATTGTAATAAGCGAGTGGCAGCTTTCAAGACGAGATGGTGATGCTCAACACAAACAAAGAACATCTCGAGACGGCTGAATTCATATCAAATATTTCTTTCAGGAAAACGCTGAGCTGTTAATCCGTTCAGGAAACAATTAACGCTATGGCCATCAACAAAATAATGAGTAAACGTTCATAACGTTTAAATGTAGAAATCCTCTTCAGCGTTTTACCACGAAATATCACCGGCAAAAACTCAATAATTTCTTCCAGTTCACTTTCTATGAAAAGTGGAAACAATCGGACGTATCTCGCCGGTTGAAACTGTCAATAGCAACCACTCGCCGGCAAGGTTTCTTTTTTTGAGGGTTGCTAAGAAGCAAGCCGAGAATTGATTGGCTCGTCACGGACAATACTAATATGAAACAAACACAGGCTACAACGCACCAGGCTTGCTGGTGAGCGATCATGCGTTTTTGCGCCAAACTTGCAGATCCTCAACAATAGAAATGGTTTCTACGCTATAATTGAACACTTGGACTTATATTGGCAGTGTTTTGGCCGCTTTCCGCATGCAGAGGAAAAGGGCGTCGGCTGGACAAAGGTTTGCATTATGAGGCCAAGTGAACCTCAAGAGTGCATGATTATCAATTTTTTGCATGAAGCACAGTCACTTTTTCGGCGAACAGTAGTTCGCTGAAAAAATGCAAATTCGAGTGAAATCGGAAGAAGATTAGAGAAATCCCCAAAATGCACTCGCTTTTGAATTTGCGATAAAATTGAGTATTTATCATGTCTGCGTGCAAAGAATTTCACCTCTAAGCTGAATTGACTGTACTTGAATAAGAGTATCTTCGCAAAGCTTTGGCTTCACAGCTTGATAAGCGAAATAGCCACTTTGCTTACGGGAGTCTTTGAACTGCCGTAGGTCGTGGCACAGGCACAAGTCGAAACTCAGTTTAGGTGTACGATTTTTCATATGAGCAACAAATATTCTGACAAAATTTCAGCTACTGTTTCCGGATAGTTTTCGGGTTGGCTTAGTGCCAGCTGAGTACTTAGACGTAACTGCACACGAGGCATAAGCATGTGTGGTAGCTGAATTGAAAAAGCTTAGTTCATACTTGCACAGAGAGTATCTCTGCTAAATTTTTGCTTTCTACCTTATTTAGATCACGAAATCGTTTCCCATCAAAGAAATCTGCGTTGCTTTTTCAAGGGTCCGTATGCGAGATCTAGACGCGTATTAGCGATAATTTAAAACGAGAGAGTGACACGTGGGGTAGAAATACACCAACAAAATTTCAGTCATCCAACTTTTCTGGTTGCTGATGAAAGTAGGTGACAAAGTTCATTCGCTTCCGAATACACACACATATAGACGGCCTCTTTGTGTTTTTGCCCACTGCAGCAGCGCTGTAACGCTGCGCAGCAAAAATGTATAAAAAACTGTGTTTGCTAATCGATGAACAAAAAGGGGGTCATTCGGCAAGTTTTGTTTCGCCGGACAGGTGAACCACTGCGTCGAATTTTGTTTGCTCCGTATTGCTGCTGCAATCGTTCACTTTACTTGTGCGTGCCGCCTTGCTGTGTCCTTCATACAACGATACCAGCAAAAATATAAGTAGCATTTTGACGGCTGCAGCTAGCAAAATCGTTAGTAAGAGGACAAGCATTTGTGTTGGCCCGAGAAGCGTCTGATAGGGTGTCTGAAATATTCGCATAGTTACTCTTTGACATAAATAACGGTGTTGAAGTGGGCTGAATGAGTTCACCACATGACAGCTTTCTGCAAATTGACGTCTGTGTGCACCTAGCTTTCCCGCATTCATCACTAGTCTGTCAGTGCAGTATTCATACCCAATCCAGCTGATATTTCAGCTTCTTCAAAAACGAACGCTTAAATTTGCGTGAAGAAGAATTTTTTAAAAACTTTTAGATTGCTTTTTCATTGGTCTCGATTATCGTATTTTTGTTCTAGCTCTCAGTCCGTTGTTCTGAAAAGAAAACAATACACTCAAGGAATTCAGGTTTATCCTTCACTCTGCCTTTATGAGTGAGGATGCTCTGGATTAGCCAGAGTGGCTAAAAGTACCAATACCATCTGTAATAAACAGGACCCCTTTTGCAAGTGAATATGGGCTGGAAAGGAACACCAATCATACTTCAAAATGAATTAGTAATTGACATTCGCTTCAAACGAAAGACCTGCTAAGTTGGAAATGGAACAGTTTTTTTAGGAAACGACACGAAGTCAGAATCGCCAGCAGGCTGACCACCCGGCAGTGTAGAATTTGTAAAAACAACTGGAAAAGTTATCCAGCTGCACTAACTTAAGGAAAGTGAGTAGTAAATTGCATTTGATTAAAGTACCAAAGAAATAAATGACCTGTATGGTAAGTGCGCTAAATACGGCAATGAAAACTGATTTTTTGAAGGTTGCATCCGGCACAAAATTAATCACATAAATCGCAGTCAATGAAATCCATGTCAAATAAATGGCCAGGACAATTTGAATGTGTACAATACGGCGCTTGAAACCAGTTCCTGGATTCTAAAATATTTTCTCTATCAACGCTGCTGAAACAGTACGGCTGTATGTGTATCTGAAGCAGAATGTGTGTACTTGCAGTTTAACCCTTTTTATGACTTTTCTACTTCTCGACCGTAAGATACCTTACTGTAAGCCAGAACTGGCAAAACCCAAAACGAGGCCATGAAACTCAATATACACCAGTGAATTCCGGAACGGATAAAGCCTTGTCACGCACCTCTTGAAGAGAAGTACATCTTCAGAACATCTCCACGAGGCTCCACTATTTCGCTCTTCACGTCTTTGCCCCTTTTCATTACTGCGTTATTTTTGCCGACGTAGCGGCAGAATTTTGCAGGGAAATCTTAAATGATGAATACTGCAACATCTTTTTGATCAAGTGGATCGACGAATTTTGTAGATGCGGCGTGGTCGGTTTTGCACGAGTTTGTTTCATGAGCGGTTGAGTTGTTCCGGAGTTATTTGGGATATTTTTTTGTCTGTAGGTATCCTGACGAAAGTATTCTTCTCGGCGTTATTTCCTGACTGTAGTTTTCCGCTATTTTTCTCACTGAAACTTCCCAATTATACCTTCCGACTGTTCTCAACATTACCTTCTGTCTGTATTTCTTAACTGTAGTTCGCGGCTGTATCTTTCGATGCTGCACCTCACGACGTATTTGACGCTGTTCTTCGCTGCTGTAACTTTCGGCGTTATTTTGCGGCGACTGCCTGCGACGATCGAAAACTTTCATGAGCAACTCAGCGAGTTTGGTTATGGGAGCAAATCATCCTGCGTAAACTATAGCACTTGCTCAGAAGTTCACCACATTTCTGACGGATAAACCGTTGAAATGTAATCTTTCCAGAAGACGAGACGAACAGCAGGCTCACTGTCAACCACTGTAGAATTAGTCAGAACAGCTGAATGGGATGCCAGATATATAGTTTAAGAACTAGGCCATAAACTACCACCAGTTAGTTATTCCAAGTTCCTTCATTCGGATTATTTAGTTTTACTACGAGCTTATATTCTTAATGACCTTATTCTCTACCTTTACTACATCACTGTCCTTACTTTTAATATTTTGAGATTATATTCTTGAAATAGCGTCAGGACTTCATGTTCTTTAAACATCAACTTCGGAAGGAATGTTTTATAAACCTTCAAAAATATTTTTGAAAATTCATCATAAGTAAAAATAGATAGAGCATCTCTAAGTACCCCCTGTCCAGGGGTGTAACTGAATAAAAACAATTACAAGACCGCCCGAATAATCGGTGTGGGTATCCTATGTTAGTAATATTACTGATATACTTTCACACAAAAACAGATAAGTTGGAAAATAATGCTGGAATTTTTCCATAGCGTTTCACATCAAAGAGACGCATTTAAATCGGGTATCGAGAGGTTTTTACAGAGCTATAAAACGCCGCATTTATTGCTTTCATGGGGAAATAAACTTGCTTTCAAGACAAGTTTTGTGCTTGATCGCATTAGAAAGCAAATTAAGAAGTGACAGAGATCTAATTCTGCAAAGCTTCATTAAAGTTTTAAAAAAACCATTTTAGCACTCGTTTTGTGTTTCTAGCATCTCCATCTACCTAAAGACATTTTTTTTTGGATCGAAGTACTTTTGCTAATTCGGTGGGAATTCACCGATGCAGCCTTCACTATAACATGTCTAGTTCACCGGCTGCATTTTTCCTCGTAGATTGCTGTGCCGTGAACGGAGTCCTTTCCCCGAAAATTGTTCTGGACCGGGAGGGGATTGAACCACTCTTCCTCACTTTCGGATGCACCAGTAAACCTGCAGTCCTTGTGCCCCAAGTTCAGAATGGCAGCACATCAACTGTGTATCTGTCTTTCAAGGCAAGATACACCTCCTTTTTCTTTTTGGTGACTTCTTGGCCGGCTTTTCGCGGATTTTCGGGACAGCCTATGTCTTTTCTGGTAAAAGCCGAAAATTTACTTTCTCAGGGGAAATTTATTTTCCCCATGTAGTTGTCTCATTCTCCGCTGCGCATTTGGACACGTAATTT